CTGTCACCGATGGAGTTTTGGTTCCTTGCCACTGTCACCTTTGGCTTGCTTAGTTGGAGACGCTTGACTGATTGCACAGACACTATTGGAAGAGAGCTGAACTGGATGATGAATCACTGAATCATCAATGAACTGACTTTAACAGAAAAATTTACTCTTTTGTTTATTGTCTTCTTGCATTATTGACAAACTATTTTCCAGTTTGACACTGTAAAGCTGCTTTGAATAAAGCGCTATAGAAATAAAGGTGACTTGACTGTTCCTGCAAACAGCAGCGTCTCAGATTCATTTGTGTGTTGTGTTTCTGTACGTTTCCACACTCAAACGACTTCTGCATTGGCTCACAAAAAATCAACTACACCATTTATTTTAAAATTACATTTCTAAAATAAATTATTTTAGTTAAATTAATTTGACTTTAACAGAAAAATTTACTCTTTTGTTTATTGTCTTCTTGCATTATTGACAAACTATTTTCCAGTTTGACACTGTAAAGCTGCTTTGAATAAAGCGCTATAGAAATAAAGGTGACTTGACTGTTCCTGCAAACAGCAGCGTCTCAGATTCATTTGTGTGTTGTGTTTCTGTACGTTTCCACACTCAAACGACTTCTGCATTGGCTCACAAAAAATCAACTACACCATTTATTTTAAAATTACATTTCTAAAATAGATTTAGTTAAATTAATTTCAAAGATGATTCCAAATGAGGAGGTCAGAGACTAGAAACGTCACAAGCTGCTTTTATAAAACTGTTCTCATTTCTGTTGTTCAAAATAAATAAATAAATAAAATTAATTAAAAAATAGCTTTCATCACTGTTCTTTAAAATAAATAAATGAACACCACTCAGTACAATTTTTCAAAATACATACATAAATAGTCCTGATTACTGTTATTTAAAACAAATACATAATAAAATAACTGAATAAATTTATCTTTACTGTTATTTAAAATAAATATATTATTAAAATAAATAACATAAAAGTTTACTGTTATTCAAAGTAAACGGATGAATGAATAAAAAAATAAATAAACCTTTATCAGTACTGTACTTTTCAAAATAAATAAAAATAGATCTTATTACTGTTACTTAAATAAATAAATAATAAAATAACTGGATAAAATTATCTTTACTGTTAGTTACAATAATTAAATACTATTTTTCATTACTGTTATTTAAAATAAATACATAAATAATTAAATAGCAGTTCTCTTAACAGTTATTCAATAAATAAATAAATAAATACCATTACTGTTATGTAAAATAAGTAAAGCATTACTGTTTTTCAAATAAACAAGTAAATAAACAATTATCTTTAATGTTTATGCATTTTACTTTAAAGAAGTAAATAAATAATAATTTAATTCAATAAATAATTCTATAATTATATGAAATAATTAATTCTTGTTACTATTATTTAAAATAAATGAATAAATTGCATTTATGTTTACTCATTCTAAATAAATAAATACAATTATATTATGCATAAACAAATATACATTACTTAAATGTTTAGGTACGTATAAATCAGCTGACACTAAGATCCATTTGTGCCTGCTATAAATGTAATTTATTTTACAATATTTCAGAAAAAAGCAATAATTTCCCAAAAGATGATTCCAAATGAGTAGAAATGTCACAAGCTGCTCTCAGGTGACGGCATTGAAACACTACATTTTAATAAATTACAGCAGTTAAATGACACATATGATACCAGTGAATTAAATAAATGTAAAAAGAGGGAGGTTGAAGTGTCAATGCAGCGGATCTGTGATTCATCTGATGACAGAGCGAACGGAGGAAAACACACGAAAACAAGAGCTCTGTGTCGGCCAAACGCTGCAAACTGACCCACTTTTGGAAAGGAGAGCGGATCCTTTAATCCAGAGCAGGATCATGATGGAGGGCCTCTGGCGTGCCAAGAGCATGCTGGGATACTGGAGGAACAGGCCAAAGCCAAAGTCACGGCTGTGGAGTAAAGCCTCCATCTGCTGAACACAGACGCGGCCGACGAGGGCTTTTCAAGGACTAGTGTGACTATCATTCATAAACACACACATACACGCGCGTGTATGTCCACTCGTTAGGGAGCGACGCTGCTGACTGATGAGCGTTCACAGCCACAATCCACTATCATCTACAGTCCAGACATTACAACACTACATTACTCTGTTATGAACTACTGCTTACGTTTAAACCATTCATTAAAACAAACTGACTAAAGAGTGATTCACAAATGAATCATAAGTGGTTTGAACGATTCATTAAAACAAACTGAATAAAAAGAACGATTCACAAATGAATCATAAGTGGTTTGAACGATTCATTAAAACAAACTGAATAAAAAGAACGATTCACAAATGAATCATAAGTGGTTTGAACGATTCATTAACACAAACATAAAGTGAAGCTGACCTCGTACGATGATGGTGGTGGATTTCTTGGCCGGGTTGCCCACGTTGTTGCTGGCGACGCAGCTGTAGACGCCGGCGTCCTCGGAGGCGATGGAGGGCAGCGTGAGCGTCCCGTCCTTCATCAGGCTCTTCTGCGGCAGAGATCCGGAGCTGAGGGTCCAGTTCAGGCTCGGAGCCGGCTCTCCTCCGGTGCTGATGCAGACCAGAGACACCGTCTGACCCGGATTCACCACGATCGGATCCTCCACCAGCAACTTGATGGAGGCGGGAGCTGAGAAACACAGCCGACACCGCCGTTCATGACTTCTACTTTACAGGTGCGTCAACTAAAACTACAATTCAAAAAGAAATGAAATAAATGCTAATTGAAATTAAATGAAGTACTAAAATGAATCTAAATAAACTAAAACTAATCAATAAAAAAAAAATTATGTAGACATTAAAAAATGAATTAAAAAAGACAAAAAAGCAACAAAATTACTAAAACTTTTACTAAAATAAAAGTGAAAACATTAAATATAAAAATAAAATTGAATTCAAAATATTAACATAAAATATAATATTTATTTAAAAAAAAAAACATTTAATTATTTTTATTTAAAAATATGAAAAAAATAAACCATTACAACTCGATATAAACCAAAATCAAATTGTTGAAGACATGGTTACCATCCGAGCCGAGCTCAAGGAGAGCTGTTAACATGAGCCCGATCTCTGAGAAATCATTATGTGTGATAGTAACCACAACACGAAAGCTATAGCGCATTAATGCATGCATTAGCACATATCTCCAGATAGATATCACCATAGTAACCACAACACGAAAGCTATAGCGCATTAATGCATGCATTAGCACATATCTCCAGATAGATATCGCCAGAAGCAGCGGACTAATTCATCTCCGCGGCACGACTTAGTAATCGCTCGTTTCCAGTCTTTACTGTAAACGCTCTGAGCATCTGAAGATGAAACCTTGAAGGAAACACTGACTTAGTTCTCATTTCTTTCAATGACAAACATCTGGATTGGTTTCTTCAGTGGTTTCTGTTCCTGTAGTAAGTGCACTAAACATTTAGGCCAACATTTATGATGTGTTTGAATTGCATGTAAAATTTCCACGCATTTGGATTCGTTTTATAAACAAATTAACTTAATGTGATGCATATTTGTCCGTCATACATCAATGAAACGGCTCAGATTTCTGTAAAAGTGCTAATAAACTGAATGTGTTTCAAACACACAATAACTATATTTATCATCAATAAATCCAATTTCATATATTTATCTAACTGAATATTGCTTATCCAATGACTAGCCATATTTTAATCATGTTCGTGCTTTTTAACTGAATAAATGCAAATGTTTTCACAACGAACAGATTTAAATGCAAATAGTTAATAATAAATTATGCAGATTTTTGAGTGCAACTATATTTATCATCAATAAATCCAATTTCATATATTTATCTAACTGAATATTGCTTATCCAATGACTAGCCATATTTTAATCATGTTCGTGCTTTTTAACTGAATAAATGCAAATGTTTTCACAACGAACAGATTTAAAATGCAAATAGTTAATAATAAATTATGCTGATTTTTGAGTGTATTTCTGTTTATTACGATACATTTTTAAAAATTGTTCTTCAAAAAATACATTGTCATTAAAAAATGTTTATTTTAAGAATACAGATTTTTTTTTGGTAAAGATTCTGAAAGCTTTTTACACTGCTTGAAGGAGATCCCAGAATAACTAAATATGGCTTATAAATATGATATTAATGTAATTAATATTATATATTTAAATATGATGGTTTAATTGTAAATATGGTGATTATCTCTTAGTTGGACAAGCAGGGTTAATAAAGGGTTAACTAAAATGAAACTAAAACCACTAAAAAATAAAATAAATAGATTTTCATTTCTTTAAATAAAAGAAACACTAAAATAAAACAAATTATATTAAAAAAAATATTTCAGCTACATTTCTCATTTTAATTTAGTTGAACTTCATGTACTAAAATAACTAAAACTGAAAAAGAAAATAACTATATATATAGAGTTTATAAGTTTATTAATTTATGTACTGTGTAATCCAAATGAATTTGAAATGTTATGCAATTTAAATGCATTTTTAATTTAGGCATATATATATATATATTAGTTTGGGTTTACTAAATTTACTAACTTTATTTTTAAATTTTCGCTTTTTTATTTATAAAAAGGTAAAACTTTAACAAAAATTAAAATAAAAACAGAAAATCTAAAAATTTAATCTGATTCAGAATATTAACAAAACCTATACTAAAACAGCACTGGCCTACAGAGAACCATAGCCACTCAGAGAACATCAGAGCAACCCGTTTGCGATGCCCTGTTGAGATTTACACAAGTAAACATCACAGAAAACCTCGTTTCTGCTCATAGCGTGGTGTTTTAGTGAGTGCTGTGAGAGAGACTGGGGTTTTTCAGTGACAAACACATGATAAAGAGGCAGACGACAGGCAGATGCGGCTATAGCTGTTCTCATGACAACTACAGCGAAAACAACACACGCTCCTGACGGCTTCCACTGACACATGCTAGCGCCGCGCTTCTCCCTCCTCTCCGGCCTGACGCGTGTGTGAAACCTTAAGCTGATATTTAGCAACAAAACAAATGCGAAAAGCTTGAGATGTGGCGATCTGAGGTTCTCGGCGGGGAAGCGAGCAGACGGCAGAAAAACACAAAAGACAGTGAAACCGGCTTGCTAACTCTCATCACACATGGTCCTGAATAAACAACTAATTAAACTGATTCTAGTCCAGCAAGACAGAAATATTCTAACTAATAGTTTACTTTTCACTTCAACCAACAAAAAAGTACCAGAAAGTACTATAGTATTACCATGTTTTTTTAGACTTAGATGGTAATTTTTTACCATCTCTTATGTAGTCTATTCTGCTCACTGAGGCTGCATGTATTTCATCAAAAATACAGTGAAAACAGTGAAATGTTATTACAGTGTAAAATAGCTGTTTTCTATGGAATCCTGTTTCCACCACAGGATAAAAAGAAACATTAAAAAGGTAATTGCAAGTTTATATGCAAGTTTATTTTCTCCCAGAACTGTAAGATTTAAACTCTGAATTGCGAGAAATTAACTTGCAATTTTAAGAAAAATGTTAGGATTGAGAGATTTAAACTCAGAATTGCAAGAAATAAAATTGCAATTCTAAGAAAAAAGTTATAATTGAGACATTTAAACTGAGAATTGTGAGAAGTAAACTTGCAATTCTAAGAAAAAAGTCAGAATTGCAGTATTTAAACTCAGAATTGCAAAATATAAACTTGCAATTCTAAGAAAAATATCAAAATTGTGAGAAATAAAATTTCAATTCTAAGAAAAAAGTTAGAATTATGAGACCTAAACATGCAATTCTAAGAAAAGTCAGAATTGCGAAAAAATTGCAATTCTAAGGAAAAAGTTAGAATTTCAAGAAATAAACATGCAATTCTAAGAAAAAAGTTAGAATTGCGAGAAAATTGCAATTCTTAGAAAAAAGTTAGAATGATGAGAAATAAACTTGCAATTCTAAGAAAAATATCAGAATTGCGAGAAATAAAATTGCAATTCTAAGAAAAATATCAGAATTGGGAGAAATAAAATTGCAATTCTAAGAATTATATCAGAATTGCAAGAAATAAAATGGCAATTCTAAGAAAAATATCAGAATTGCGAGAAATAAAATTGCAATTCTAAGAAAAATATCAGAATTGGGAGAAATAAAATTGCAATTCTAAGAATTATATCAGAATTGCAAGAAATAAAATGGCAATTCTAAGAAAAATATCAGAATTGCGAGAAATAAAATTGCAATTCTAAGAAAAAAGTTACAATTATAAGAAATAAACGTGCAATTCTAAGAAAAATATCATAAATGCGAGAAATTGCAATTCTAAGAAAAATATCAGAAATGTGAGAAATAAAATGGCATTTCTAAGAAAAAAGTTAGAATTCTAAGAAAAATATCAGAATTGCGAGAAATAAAATTGCAATTCTAAGAAAAACATTAGAATTGCAAGAAATAAACGTGCAATTCTAAGAAATAAGTTAGAATTATGAGAAATAAACTCGCAATTCTAAGAAAAATATCAGAATTGCGAGAAAATAAAATTGCAATTCAAAGAATAATATCAGAATTGCGAGAAATAAAATTGCAATTCTAAGAAAAAAGTCAGAATTACGAGAAATAAAATTGCCATTCTAAGAAAAAAGTTAGAATTATGAGAAATAAACGTGCAATTCTAAGAAATAAGTTGGTATTATGAGAAATAAAAGTGCAATTCTAAGAAAAAAGTCAGAATTGTGAGAAATATAATTGTAATTTTAAGAAAAAGTCAGAATTGCGAGATTTAAACTTGCAATTATAAGAAAAATGTCAGAATTGTGAGAAATATAATTGCAATTCTAAGAAAAAATGCGAGATTTAAACTCACAATTGTGACTTTTTTTTCGAGGCATCCATGCTGAATAAAAGTATTTATTTTCTATAGAAGTGTATCATGATTAGCATTCATTACTTTTATTAATTTAGCAGATACTAATGTAGCGGATGCCTTAATCAAAACTGATCTACAGAATAACTAACCCTGGAGCTTTGTTTGCTGAAAGGCACATAAATGGCTTATGACTCAGTCTTGATTATTAATTGACTAATTTGATTATTAATACATATTATATGGAAAAAACGTTTGAGCTCATATTGAGGCATTTAACTTGGTGCACTCTTTGTAAAGTTATTGAGATCACTTCTGAAATTTAGAGGAGACAAATGTGAGAGCTCTCGAGTCTTTAGCTAAGGAGAAAAATCTGAGCACAGTGTGTAATGTTGTTGAGACCTCGCGTCTTTAGAGTAGGAGAAATATCTGAGCACAGTGTGTGATGTTGTTGATATCTCTTATAAAGCTTTAAAGAAGACCATTGTGAGATTGTTAGAGTTTTTGTCTCAGGAGACAAGTTTGAGAAGCAGGAGACTCAAGCAAAAGTTTCCATTCAATCTTAAGGTAACCTCATTTATGTCTAGGAGAAATATTTGAAATGTTAAAAAGATCTCTTTTTTTATTTTATTTTTCTTCCCTCTGGTTAGCTTCAATGTCATTTATCCACACCATTTCAATCAAAGACAATACATGCATTGTCATATTTGAAGTTGTTTTATGTAGACAGTGTTTTATTGCACAGTGATTTAACAGAGGAAACCATAACCTATATTTACATACATGCAAAAAT